CTTGGAAGTAGAGACTGGGCTCTCACCAGATACCAAACTTGATAGTGCCTTGGTCTTAGACTTCCCAGCCTCCAGAACTGTGAGAGATAAATTTTTAAGTTTATAAAATTATCCAGTCTTGGGTATTTCGTTAAAGCAGCCTGAATGAAGACAGCAGGTGTGTCTAACTGATCAGGACATGCCAGGAAGTCCAAGCATAGTGCTTTGTATACAGTAGGTATCAACCACTAAATGAGGGTTTATTGAACACCCATTCCACTGAGCAGGAAGGGGCATAATAATGAGAAAAGCAGTTTCTGGTTCCAATATGCTTGTAATCCAGTGACAGAAACAAGCAATGAAAGCACAGTGAAAAAAATGTTATACTAATAAAATTTCCCACAAAGAACTTTAGAAACACATAAGAAAAAACAACAAACTGCCTCAGTGGGAGTGAGGTAAGCGATGTTGCTGAAAACAATGTAAAGTAGCATTTGTCACTAGATACTAGTCTGCACACAATAAATAGGTAAGGGGATTAAAAAATACTTAAGAAACAATGGTGATATAGCACCTCTTGTATACTCCTGGATAGAGCTGGAACGCATTCTACTAAGTGAGGTATCGCAAGAATGGAAAGACAAACACCACATGTACTCACCATCAAATTGGTATTAACTGATCAACACATAAATGCACATATAAGAATAATATCTATTGGATGTTGGGCAGGGGGGAGGGGGGAGGAGGAAGGAGGGAACGGGTATTTGCATACACAAAGAGTGCAATGCGCACCACCCGAATGGACATATTTGAAACTTGGACTTGGGGGGGGGGCATGGGCAACATATGTAACCTAAACGTCTGTAACCCATAATATGCTGAAATAAAAAAAAGATACTTTTCATGGCCAGTGAGGCAGAGTTATAAACATTATATTCATAAAAAGGCTCTGATGGATGCAGAGTGTGGACCTGAAACCTAGGTCTTCTGACTCTAGGACATCCGTTCTTTCCACAACATAATACAACACCTTATTATGTAAAAAATTGGAAGCATATGTATTTATTTAAAAAAATTGGACACATAGTTGAGTCAATGTAGGCAACAGAACTGAAGATATATTTTTTTCACTATAATTATGCATTTTTTTATTTCAGAGTTTTACGGGGGTGCACACATTTTGTTTACACAATTTGCTTTTGTACAGTTTGAGTCAAAGTTGTAAGTGTGCCTTTCATTCAGTTAGTGTGCATTGTACCCGTTAGGTGTGAATTTACTCATCCCCTCCTCCCACCTCCAACCTACTTGATTTCCCTTGAGTTTTCATTCCATATGTGTGCATACGTGTTGATCGATTTGTTCCAATTTAGTATTGAGTACATGTGACATTTGTTTTTCCATTGTTGTGATACTTCATTAGGAAGAACAGTCTCTAGTTCCATCCAGGTTGTTACAAAAGATACTAGGTCACCATTTTTTTTTAATGGCTGAGTAGAGCTCCATGGTATACATATACCACATTTTATTAATCCACTCATGTATGGATGGACATTTGGGTTGTTTTCACATCTTTGCAATTGTGAATTGTGCTGCTATAAACATTCGAGTACGAGTATTCCTTTGGGTAGATACCTAGTAGTGAGACTACTGGATCAAATGGTGAGTTTAGCTCTTTGAGGTATCCCCATACTACTTTCCACAGATATTGTGCTAGTTTGCAGTCCCACCAGCAGTGTATGAGTGTTCCTATCTCTCCACATCCATGCCAATGTTTATTCTTAACAGAAAATGCATTACTAGAAGGAGGCACAAAATAAAAGAATCTTAAATCCTGCCTATTATCAACTATCAGCCATCACCCAAGATAATAGTATAGAAGATACGTATAGGCATGAAACCAGAGAAGCTCCCTGGAAGCTGGGGGAAAGAATAGTTTCCTCAAAGGAGGTCTAGTAGGAAATAATATTTTTTCTCTTTTTAGCCTTTTTTAATGAATTGAATGATTAAAGAATTGTACCTCTGAACTACTGCTGACTGCTGCCACTGTTTGTTTTGTTCTATTTTTTTTTTTTATTTATAGTATTATCCTGGAGGTGCCATGGTGTGTGTAAATGAAGAATACTTTTATGTTTCTCACCCCAAACAGGGCACAGATATTTCTGACAAACTCATTTTTTCTTCATAGTGATTAGAGAGAAGTTGATCCTGTGGAGAAAACCAGCAACCAGAGAGAACTGGATTAGCACATTCAGATTACAGAGGTGAGAGTTATGCATGACCTATGGCCATGACCAGCATTCTAAAGACCATATTGGATGAAAGCAAAGGCTTTAGTATAAATTGAATAATAAAGACTAAAGTTTCAAGGACTAAACCAGTCTTTTCCAACTTAATGTTTTCTTAAAAATTTTTATTTCGTACATAATTTTCACCTTTCCTTCAAGATTATGATACAGTTTTCTTTTGGAGAAATCTGTCACTATTGGGTATCCTTATCTTGCTGGGAAGATTTTGTCCAGTGTTATTTTCTGTAGGTTCTATTATAAAAATGATAGGGTTTTTTTTTTATTTTTTAAACATAAAATAACCACGTTTAATATTCTTTTAAGAAGTCTCTTGCTCCATCCCAGAAATTTGGATATGCTTTCTTAAAAATCACGCCCATTCTCCCTGACCTCTCACATACCTAGTTGAAAATGCTTGGACAAAACTTTGAAATTATTGGAAATGAAGACTTTGCAATAAAAGTGCTGATGCAAGACATGAACATCTAATTGCAGAACTGACTGCACAGGACAGAGTTGTGAGGTTGTTTAATGCAACGAGGACACACATTGCTTAGGGATGAATGTCTCTTTATAAAGAGAGTCAATGTATTAAGAAATGTTTCTGCCCACTGCTCTGCGTAGAGCATCCTTGACCTCCTTGTTCCTGAGGCTATAAACAACAGGGTTCAGCAGAGGAGTGATGATGGTGTAGGTCACTGAGAGAAGGAGGTCTTGTTCTACAGAATTTTCTGACTTGGGCTTGAGATAGGCAATGGAGGCACAGCCGTAGTGGACAATGACCACAGTGAGGTGGGAGGCACAGGTGGCAAAGGTCTTTTTCCGGCCTTCAGCTGAGGCAATCTTGAGGATAGTGGAGATTATGAGGACATAGGAGATGAAGACCAGGCCCATGGGGACCAGGATTGCAAATGAACTGACAACAAAGTTTATTATCTCATTGATAGTGGTATCAATACAGGAGAGTTTCATGACAGGGAGTATGTCACAGAAGAAATGACCAACCACCCTGTAACAAAAGGGTAAGGTAAATATGGATGTCACTTGGACAGCTGCCATGGCGAGGCCAATGCCAAAGGCTCCACACATCAGCTGCACACACACCTTCTTGCTCATGATGACTGTGTATCTCAGGGGGGTGCAGATGGCCACATAGCGGTCATACCCCATTGCCGTGAGCAAGAAGCAGTTGTTGATGGCCAAGGTAACAAAGAAGAACATTTGGGTGGTACAACCTGCTAGGGAGATTGGCTGGTTCTGGGCTACAAGGCTGGAGAGCATCCGTGGAATGATGACCAGTGTATACATTGTCTCTGAGCTAGCCAGTATGTTCAGGAAGAAGTACATGGGAGTGTGCAGGTGATGATCAATGTGGATGATGGTCACAATGATGACATTACCAGCTAAGATTAATGTGTACAGGATGAGAAAAACCACAAAGAGGGTGATCTGGTGTTCATGGAATCTAGAGAATCCCAGGAAAACAAACTCTGTCACCTCTGTGAGGTTCTTTCTGTGCATTCTTCAATGTAATGTCTGAAAGCAATGCAGAGAGTCAACATGGAGAAATGCCCATCATGACATGGATTCTAGAACAGGGATAGAAAAACAGACATAGAGTAACCCCCCCCCCCAAAAGTCAATTTCTTTACTCTACAATCAAGAGCATGTTAGTTTATGTTACATGGCTACTTCCCTCACTTCTCCCTTTTCTGTTTTTGCTGTTTCCTCAATCTTCTCTTAAGCATCTGGCCAAGGAATCACCAATATCACCAATATGTGCAATTACAGGCTGTATCTTTTCAGAGTGTCATCATGAATATGTTATTTTTGTAGTGCACAAAGGCTTTTTGCTTTATGATATGTTTGCCACAGTGGACCTTTCTCATGCAGTCTGGCTTTGCCATGTCGCTCTCGTTGGGAAAGTGTGCATAGCTGGGACAACAAAATGGGGGTGGGAGAGTTGCACTTACTGAGCTAGAACCACTGGTGGATAGCTTCTGATAACAGTGTAGTCACAGGGAGCTGACCTTCGGGAACACTTCAATAGGCATGAAAAGGAAATGGTACAGGGGAGACAAACCATTGGCAAACTTGATTTGTTTTGAAAGTATTAATAGGGACTTGGGAGGTGGGGACAAGTAAACTAGGGAGAGAAGGGGAAGTTGTTGGAAAAGAGAGAAGAGATCCAGCAACACAACAGAAGGTTAGACCTTAAATAAAAGAAATAATTGATTTCTTTTTGGCAGAGGGAATTTTAAGAATGAAGAGGTGTAATATTTGATTTAAAATTGTTTTCTAAATTATATTGAGATGTAAACTCCCTGAAGAGCTCCACACCTTCATTTAAAGCTTCCGTATGTGTAATCTTCAGTTAGGGTGTTTGGGAAGTGGAGTGAATTGGATGATGGCACAGTGCAGAGAAAGGCACCACGTGCAAGGGACAAAATCCAGAGTGAGGAACAGAAACTCTTTGCCAGTAATGACTGGAAGAAATACAAGGCCCTCTCCTGCTCAGTCTTCCCCTTGAAAGCACACACAATATTTCCCAGAAATTTGGTGAGGAAGCCTGAGATTGCCACCATATATCAAATGGAGGTTTGAACCATTTTACTTAAAGAACAAGTTAACACCTGCAGGCTGGAGATTTGGATACATTTAGGGAACTGCCACTAAGAATCTGGAACATATTATGGGGATTCTGGAGAATACTCCGTTATGGAAAATAAGGAGGCAAACATTTCAAGTAGAAGTGACTGTGTCACTAATAATTAAAGTAATTTACATTGAAAGACTGCCAAGATACCAGTCAGATAGGCAAAAATTAAAGAGAGTGCCAGTGCAACTCTAAGCAGCTTTTTAGAAAGGATGGGGTAGAGCTATGACTATGTAAATTTAAATTAATTAAAATTAAAGAGAATTAAAAATTCAGGTCATTAGTCACACTGGCCACATTTCAAGTGCTAAAAAGCTATATGAAACTAATGGCTACCATATTGGACAGCACAGCTATCAGATATTTTCTTCCTTGGTGAAAGTTCTGTTGGAATATGCTGTGAGGGTGCCTTACTATGGACGGATGTGTGGAATACATTAAATAACAACAAAAAAGCTCTTCAAAGAACAATAATATGGTGTGCTGCCATATGGTTAAGAATATTTGTGTGCATGTGTGAATGTTCATACATGTGGGAAAAAATCTGAAAGAATATGCACCTGATGTTATCATAGGTTAACTGTTAGGTTGTGGTGGGTGTGAGATTGTAGGGGTCTGGTACTTTTTACCCTATCATATTTACCATGGTGATTATGACTCTTATATTTAAAATATTTTAATTTTTAGCATAAAATTATGGCTTATAAATAGTTTGGAGAAGTCAAGAAGGAGGATGACTGGGAACAGATTAGATTCAACAGGGAGGCTGCCAATGATCTTATTGGACAGAGTTCCAGCAAAGTCTTGGGCTGGAAAGGCTGATCGCATGAAATAGAAAAAGAATTTTGTTGCTATGTTAGGTTGCTATCTTAGGACATTTTCCTTTTCCTGATGAGCCTATGGCAATGAGTAACAAAATGTGGTTAAAGAGATACTGAGCCAGGAAAATTGTGGACATGTTTGGAGTAGAGAAAAGGAAGAAAATGCAAAACTGAACTGAGGCAAAAGGGGGAAAAAAATTCCTGGAATCTTTAATTTAGGAGCTGAAAAGTGCTGCTTTCACCCAAAATTAGCCACTGCTTTGTTGTAAATGTTTTGTGTAAATATGGATTTACCTTCTTTGAATAAATTACAAAGATACAGACAGGATGTTAATGGCCCACTAGATGCAGGGAAAGTGGGCCAGGGGGATTAAAAAAAAGGAAAAAGAAGTAAGTTTATTGCTTCTGGAACACATTTGAATTAGATTGAATGGGCAATAAAAGAATATCTTAAGACAAGATATTCTTAAAACTTGGGGAAACAAACACAAAAAGGAAGGTCAGATCAGGACGTAGGAGAAAGAACAGCCTCTTCAAACCAATGCTCTTTCCATATTGTTTAGTACTTATTTGGAGGACAGGTGTGTGTTGGCTGGAGGAAGGGTAAAGCCACACCATCCAGAGGGCCTGTCCCTTCTCCTGTCTGAGGAGCTCAGCTGCAGGGGAACGTCCAACACTCTGTTTAGCCAAAGCCAACAAATAAACAAATAAAAGAGCCCTGCAGTAATTGGGATTCGTCCTCCATAGAGTACATTTTAGTGGCCATCTACACCTCCTAGAGTAGCTGTCATCCACTCACCCTGATTTTTCCAAATATTCTTCCCAACCACGTTGCTCTCCCTTAGAAGAGTTCTATTATGTTTTTTATTCCATTTTGTTATCTATCCAGGGATGTTTTATAGTCCCTTATAGATTAAGGGCAATTGCCTGGTAGTCTCACATTTTAACCAGTCCCTTTACGAGGTGAAGAAGCAATCTAAAATTGTTACTGTGAGAAATTTATGGCTTAAATGTCAAATACAGGGTTGTTACTGTCCCTGAAAGTGAGGGAGAGAGACCCCCATGGAAGAGATGGGGAAATCTGAGATGCAGGAGGGAAGTACATTGTTAGTCCTCCTTCGAGCAGTGAGCGCCAACGTTCACCTTGGGAAGGGAGAAGAGGTCACAGGGGTACCAACGAGTCAAAGAAGCGTGTAGAATGGGTGGTTTGGTTCCACCAGTGGAGGTTGGCTGGGGTGAGTTCTCAGTGGTTAGCATGGATCTCAGTGAATTTAGGGGCTGTTTTAGCAACAGATGGCTATCTACTGGTTTTTTTTTTTTCCCTATTGGTTGCTTTTTTCAGTCTTTGCCCAGCCAGAAGTGAGTGCAGCTGAGCACAGTAGCAGCAGCCCTTCCACTACCCCAATCTGGGCCTCCTCTGTGGCTGCACCCTAAGGGAGATTCTGTGTAAGGAACACACCAGTGGATAATCTCAAAAGCGTGCTATGGAACCAAAAGGAGCTTTCAAAATGATTTATACATTCTAGAAGGATAAAAACCCTGTGGGAGAGTAAAAATACTGAAATGTGCTCACGCATCAAAATCTTAGTCATGAAGTCAATATTCCTACTAGAGGAAAAAGCAAAATAAAGTGGAGAGGAAAACACAATTTGAGGATGTAAAGGAAATATAACACCATTTGCAAAGGGAAGTAATTATTATAAAAATCATGGATGCCCAATATATTAATATTTCAATCTTTATAAGAGAATTAGTGCCCAGAAACAATCCACGTTTTAAAAAATTAAAACATGCAAAGTAGGCTAAGCCTGTTTTATTATATTTTGTGTGTAAAGGAATTGTGCAGTTAAAAAATAAAGATACTGCCTTTTTGCCAGAGTTTCCTTTCCTTTTCTTTTTTTCCTTTCCTTTTCTTTTTTTCCTTTTTCTTTTCCTTTTTTAAATAAAATAAATCTAAGGAGTCAGGAATGAAGGAGTCAACTTCTTAAGAAACTGATGATTATAAGAACAATTTGGATAAATAAGAGAATCATGACTTTTCTTTGGGATAGAAGCCTCCTCAGACCCAAAAGAGTCCACCCTCCTTCTTGAGTTTGTGGAATATATCTGTGTTCTTCTTTGGTCTTAGAACATGCCAGGCAATTGTGACTCATTTACCAAAGATCACTGCAATTCCAGGAAATCTGAGTGTCATTTTTTTGGAAAAAGAAATAACAGAATTTTGGTGTCTTTCAAAGCTCAGCCTTATTAGGTTCTAGGACAGCCTTATTAGATTATTAGATCACTTACATTTCACTGGTCTTTGGCTGAAGCACAAGGTGACATTCACACTGGGTCCTTCTGGCCCTTTTGGTATTGCCTTTAGAAGAGCTGTCCCCTTAAACTCTGCGGTTAGGAAGAGACTCTCAGAGGAGAAGTTTTGTTGTCTAGCTCTTGTCTCCTGGGTTAATTTGCCAAGAGACTCACCATGTCTCCCATGGGTCTTCAGGGAATCAGAATCAAGAAATGAGCCAGGGGATCTCATTACAAGTGGATCACACTAGGAATACTGGGCAAGCTTGGTCTCACATGGCTTGCTACTTATTTCCCTTCCCAGGAAAAATAGCTCAACTCAGTTGAAGATATGTTGAATGTCACAATTGCACAATGTTTTGTCCTTTTGAATTCCTGTTAGCATTTTGTCCTTAGTTACTATCAGCCAAAAATCACCTCTATTAAAGTCAAATGTGGTGTCTCTCTGTGTACCTAGAAAGAGCTTACCTCATTTGATTTATTAGCAGGGGCTTGCATGGGTTGTCAGGTAAGGATTAGCTTTGGGGGCAGGGACTAAATACGGAGCATGATGAGTATTTCTTTTTATTTGTAGGAATATACCAAGAAATTAAGACAGATGATTAAAGTCATTATCATTCTAGCTAACAGTCACTGAGCACTTGCACTATGCCAGAACACGAACTGAGTGGGTGCTTCGTGCACATTGTCATATCGAATCCTCACGGGAACCCTGAGAGGCTATGGTGAGAAGCTGTAGCTAGAGGTCTAGGTGAAGTGCTTAGTGTTTGTCTTTGGCCTCTCACTCTAGACACAGCAGTATGAACCCCTCACAGACTGTGGGCCTCAGTGCCATGTATCAGTAGCATTAGATTAGCTTTGTTCTGGATCCTGAGGTTTATGTCACATGAGGCATGAGCCTTTACCAGCACTCAGAATGGATAGCGGAGCCTGTAGACATCTCCTATGTTGAACTCAGAAAAGAGTGTTCATAGTCAGACAAAACAAAATAGAAAATTCTGGAATATAAATGGAGTTTAGTGTATAATCAGCAATTTAGTCCTCTCAAGATAAGGATTAAAGGTAATTCAGGCCATGTTTCACTTTTCCTTCTGTTCTTCAAATGATCTTGGACACTTACTCTTTCTAAACAATAGAAAGTCTGAGGAATACCTAAAAAGTTTCCACATTTTTTTTCAAATGTAACTATATATTGATCCTCTTTAGTGCAGATAAGATAAATGTCTTTTTATTCTCATCCCAATTCACGTCTAAGCTAAGGCATATCCCAAACTAAGAAACCTTATTGCTTTAACCTCAGACTTCTGCCCAGAGTCTGCCACATAAAACCTGTAGAGAACTATTAATAACTGCAAGCCCTCTTATTCAGGAAAATCCTCTGTGGTCTTCTCTGGTAAAACCAGTCCTTGAACCATGCAGCTAAATGTTCCTACCTGTTTTTCTGCACCTACGCAAATTAGAGTCAGATCCTTATGGGCACAAGATAGAGGCTCAAAAATTGCTTTTCATATTACAGATGACTCCTTATTTTAGCTCTTCATTGTACATCTTATGTACTGCTTATTCCTAGGCTCTTCCAGCTTTAGTGACAAATATGGGGAAGGTGGCAATTATCAAGGTAGTTATTGAATCAATACCCAACTATGTTCCTGGGTTATCAGGCCTTCCAGATCCTTCCATGTTCCTTATAGATTCTGGGTCACTCAAGTAGTTTCCTCTATGACTTTGCTGCTTTCTTTGTTGTGACAATCACTGTATCTGAGAAAAATGCTCAAATAAAGTTATCAGAAATCCCATTTCTATTTTAAGTGATGTTCAAATGGACTCTGCTTTATTCATTTTTGAATAAGCCATTGATATGATAGATATCAGATAATAAAAATAGTATACACAGATCCACTCAAATGAAGAATTGACAAGGAAATGACTAAGAGCCATCTCTATGATTCTTATATCTCTTGGCCAGAACAAGGTGCACAGAGAGGACAGAAGGTGGGGATAGGAGAGAACTTCTCCAAAGAACTTCTTTGGAGAGAGATGTCGCTTTGGTGTTATTGCTGCTTTGAGGAAGAAGTGAGTTATGTTCCTGATACCTTGAGAAGATGATTATTGGTCTTCCTTCTTCCTTCACCTCAAGCCCATTGAGGGGGCTTCCATAGAATCACTCAGAAAGCTTAAAATATGCTCCTTGCTAGTGGGAGACTCATATGACTTGAAAAAGCCACAACCACTGCAGAAGCAGAAAAGTGTGGTCTACATTAAGACCATCCTGGACTCCTAGAATTTATAGGGACAAAGCATGCATGAGTGTTTCTTTTGGATGAAATGTGAGCCACACAGAAAAAAGAGCTGACATGTAGCCATCTTTGATTCTATCCAAAACAGCCATCTTGAAGGACAGAGGGTTCAGAAGAACAAGAAATTAAACATGAACAGTAGATACTAAGACATATGCAAGAAGTTACAAATGATCACCAAGAATAAATGATACCTCCAACTCAGATGGAGTTGGAAATGGGAGTATGACATCAACCTGAGATAGAAGGAAGCCTGAAGATGTGAGGGATGGGTTGCAACACAGGCTGATTATTATTAGGAGGAATCCATATTTAGGTCACACTGATTTATTAGAATATAAACTCCAAAAAAGCAAGCACCATGATTATTTCACTCAATCTTATATTTTTGGTATCTGGCAAAGTGCTCAATATATAGTTGAATGAATGGATGACACCACTTGAAAATACACTGGCTTCATTTCTAAAACTTGTTTTAAATTCCTTGGCAAAGGGACTATTAAATGTTAAATGCAAACAACACATTCATATGTTCTTGGTGGAAATATCTGTTAAAAAAGGATAGATCTTTCCAGACCCAAGAATAGGTCTTTCTAGTACTCACAGTACAAGTTTATGGAATGGTGGTTAATATTAAGGAAGCATAAAACAAGCCCTAACTTAAGAGATGAAAATTGGAAACTAATAATTTCCCACATTGCTAAAATGCCTACCTAACCAATTCGATGTTCTAAATGATTTCTACCTGTCTTAGTCCATTTTGTGTTGCTGTAAAAGAATACCTGAGACTGTGTAATTTATTAATATAAAGAAAAGAGGTTTGTTTAGCTCACGGTTCTGCAGGCTGAGAAGTTCAAGGACAAGGCATCGACAAGGGCTTTCATGCTGTGTCACAACATGGCAGAGAAGGTCAAAGGGGATGCAGGTGTGTGCAAAGAGAGGGAAACCTGAGGGACACCCTGGCTTTATAACAACCCACTCTGGCGGGAACTAATCCGTTCCCACATGAATTAACGCAGTCTTGCAAGAGCGAGAACTCATTGAGTACTGTGGGACTGGCACCAAGGTATTCGTGAGGGAATCTGACCCCGTAGCCCAAACACATTCCACTAGACTCCACCTCCCAAAACCAACGCATTGAGGATCAAAGGTCGACATGAGCTTTGGTGGGGGCAAACACACCGTATCCAAACCATAGCACTACCTCGCTGGAAATGAGGTTGAAAGGTTCTTAGGAAGTCCCTGTTCTTCCATTTAAATACCTCAGCAAATCTTCCCAGGTTCTCTCTGCTCCTCTCTCCTTCAACCCCATTGCCCCATATGAAATTCCTAGGTTGTATCCCACTTCTCTGTATCTGGTGCCTGCCTCTTTGTCCACTATGAGTAAATGGCCTTATGAGTTTTAAATAATAGCTTTGGTTATCATTCTGGAGCTGTCCTGGATGCTCTCTGTCTGATTTCCCTGGCTTTTCATTATCAGTGGGAAAAGCCTGCCTTATTTCCCATATGCAGCCTAAACTCCCTTTGGGGTCCTTGCTTCTCTGGGAAGGACACTCATATCTATTGAGGGTGTACCAGGCACCGTGCACTGTGCTTTTCATAATCGTAAAAATAACTACTAATGATAATATCTGACAATTATTTTGCAGCATTATAATTAGGATGCCACTTGCTGTGCTAAAAGTTGTATCAGCAATACGTTTCAGGGTATTCTGTGTGTATTCTCTGTGTATATTTCAGAGAGAGTAAGTGGGACCTGATTGTGGAGGGCAATGTCACATCAAAAGGTTTAAATTATAACCTGCAAGAAGTGGAGCTCCATGGAAGGACTTTAAAGAGGTGATTCATGTGAGTAATATTTGGAGTATAATATTTTCTTGATGACATCAGGGCAACATTATGAAAATCAAGCACTGTACAGCAGCCCTCAGATTTTTAAGATATAAAGTCATGCTTGTCTTCACACAAAATGATCCCAGTCTCTTACATATTTTCAGTTTTTAGTCCTACTTCTGGTTTTTTTTTTTTCCCTCCGTCTCATTACTTGTCGTCAAATTCTCAACTATTGCTTATGTATCTCATTACAGTTGTTTCCCTGCTGCAAGATCCCACCTTTTTTTTTTTATCATGATGAATTATCTTTTTTTTTTTTATTATTATTATTCCAGGGTTTTGTGAGGGTACAAACATTGTAGTTACACTTTATGTCCACTTTTTTTTTTTGATTGATTTGTAGCTGGAAAAACAAAAAGATGGATTTGGATTGCAATGCTATGCATATTTTGAATTGTTATTAAAATGATTGTTAGTAGCTTGTAAGTGCTGTCACTGTCCACCCATTGCGTGCTCTGACTTTGTGCTCTACCTTTCTAGTTACTTAAAGGGTTTCCCTCCCCATATTTTACAATCTGATTTTTCTGGATAATGAAACACCAATTACCAAATAAGTAGATATAAGAGAATGTGTATGGGACTATGACAAGCACTAAACAAATGCAGGCAGCATAATATAATATTTATTTTTATTTGGCAGACAAAGAAGAAAGAGCTGCAGGTGTGGATCTAGTAGTATCCAGTTGCTTTGAGGAGACCTCTTAGATGTTTTCATTTCATTTTTTTTTTCATTTTCAAGCCCTCTTGATTCAAGATCTCAAATCCACACCATAGGTTTGATGACGACATATCCTTTTATTTCATAGTTCAGAGCCCGCCAGTTCAGGATATTCGGATTGAGGGAGGAACCCTGATAAACCAACAGGATCTCTTCTGGCGGTAGCACAGAGTCCCACATGTACACATCCCCAAGCTCTCCCACGAAGGACTGGCTCTTATCAAATCCACCCCCGTAGGTATCCTGCTCCTGCCCCAGGACGATCTTGGGGTGAGCTCCCACAGAGTAACCCTGCTTCAGACCCTTTTTCACCAAAGGCTTCCCATTTACCCAAAATTCAGAAATGCCTGAGGAGGACTCCCAGCTAACACAGATGTGCACCGGGGCCGGGTACTCTTCGACAGCTTTCCATGTAACTTTGGCTTTCCCAATGTATAAACTGTACTCTCCATGTTTTTCTTTATAAATTAGTAGTTCATTATCCTTGCCCTGGGTGTTGTAGGAGAAGAGGCTGTACTGACGGGAGAGGTCACTGAAGGCTCGAAAACACAAGGTAAAGTTCTCTAGAGGTTTCTTCAGCTGTGTAATCAAGCTCACGTGATCACTAGAAGATTCTCTGGGGAACACAAACACCTTCCCACTGAGGTCTGCGGGATAAAGAAAGAAATGAAATGACCTTCACCATAAATGCAGGAAAAAATATCCCAGTTTCAACCTCTTTTCTCACCCATGCTCCTTGACTATCCCATGACCTCCCTACCTGTCTCAGCAAAGGCTCCCAGGAGGCTGGTGAGGACAGAGGCCCAAAGCAGCAGCTTGTTCATGTTCTTGGCGTGGGGCTGTTATAGCAGCAGTAGTGACTAGGATTAGGGTAGCAGGCAACCCAGTGGCTGTTCACCAACCTTCTGAGATTCATGCTCTAAGACCTCAGCTATTCAGGGTTTATATGCACCTTGGGAGAGGATGGGGGTTGGGGAGCACCAATAATGTGTGAGTGATTTTCCAGGCCTGCCCCCTGGTGCCAGCAATCAGAGCTGCTGATGGGGGAAGGGGTGATGAGGCCCTGGGCTGGAAAATCAATGGGAGTTATTTATTAGACACGAGTGACAGCTAGAGCTCCAAATCTTGTGACCCAGAGTTTGTTGCTGGGAAGAGAGTGATGGTTGCAGAGCTGTAGGCTCTGGATGGGATGAGCGCCAGGCTGGCCACATCAGGAGGGTCTCGCTCCTTTCTCCAGGGCCCCGTCTGTCTGACAGCTCTGTGCTCTGCCAGGAGCTCAGGCCTCTGATGGTCCAACACCTTTTCTTCCTTTCATAGTTCTGTCAACTAGTCTTCTGTTTATAGGATATTCTGGAATTCTGCTTTCTGTTGAAAATCCTAAAAATTCCTATCACCTTTGATTAATTTGATATTGAGTAATATATCCAGGCATTGCCAGGGGAAAGAGAGAATTGGAATACAAACTTTCTGTCCCCCTGAAGCTTTGTATTTTTCTGCTACTATTACTCAGATCTCTTTCATGATGCTTCCCTAGCCCAGATTTTCCCATTTCCCATTATGACTTGTTTTCCTGGTAACCTACCCAATACCTGCAGAGATGTCAGCATCTCCCCTAGATTTCCTCTCCCCTTCTTTGAGTCCATGGCCATTGAGGCTATATCTAATCCATTTTTGGTGATGACCCCATTAATACATTACATTCACATTTATTCACTAATTCCCAGACACTACATTAAATGGTAGGGATTCGGTGGTGACTGACCTTCATGCAACCCCAATGACCTCCATCTTTATTTTCTCTGCTACTACTTAAAATGTCACACTTTTTTAGGTATCACTCAGACCTGTAAGATATCTGCCTGTAAAATATCAAACTAATGTTCCCCTTTCTAGCCACATTATTTTTCTTCTCTCTCATTCCTAAATTCTATGACATCTTCATTCTCATCCTGTTAGTTAGTCTCTTGTTCATTCTTACTTCTCTCAGTTCACCCCAGATCTTCTGATCACTCTTTTCAATGACAATCACTCACACTGAGAATTCATTTCCTCTACCATTTAAATTATTCTGCTCATCCTCATCTCTGGGCAGTTTCCAATCTTTATTCTTTTTTTTCTTAAGCTGAATCCCAGGTTGTGAAGCCTAATTTGGCTTGTTGCACAGTCAGGGTTAGTGATGGACTTGGAGTCACACATCCTATTGGCTCCTGAATTAAATACAGATCCTTCAGCTTAGAAGCTGATGCCATTTGTAATCTGGCTCCAACTTGGCTGTAACCTCTTAATCAAATTCTGTCCTCCGGTCACCCATCTCTAATTCTTGTGCTTCATACATGCCTGGCTTTCCTGATTTCTTTACTTCTATTCATTACCTTCATTCTGTCTTGAATTTCTATTTATCCTTTTCTGTTTCTTAAAATCCTAACTATTCTTCAAAATTAATCTCAAAAGTGATTTGCTTCATGAAGACTTTTCTGATGTCCCAACTAGAAATTTTTTTCACCTCTTTTGAACTCCTCATAGGGTTAAGATCTAAGACTGGAGTAGAATTCCAGTGTTGCCATTTACTAGTGTTTGGCTATTGTACAAGTCACTAAAACTCTCTGAACCTTAGTTTCCTCCTCTGCAAAACAAAGATGAAATTATCTACCTTATAGTGTTTTTGTGAAGAAAATAAGTACCACAATATGTTTAAAGTACATGGAATAGTGTCTTGGATGATTATCATTACAGTTATTAATATCATTTTAGAGTTTTTTTATGGCTATTACAATTGTCTGTTGCATACTATAGATATTAGTGTATTGATCTATTATCCCATCTAGATTGAAGCCAGGTATTAGGTCCTACTCATATTTAGCTTACCCACTTTATCTAATAATTTTTCTTTTATATGAAAGGAGACTGTTATATATTTGTGGAATCAAAGGATTCAAGGAGGGTGAGGACTTTTTACAAAAAAGATTAATAGTAATAAAAAGTAGAACAAAACTGAGTAATATGAGCAGGTAATTCTGGGAGTAGGAGCTGGGAGGTAACCTTTACTGAGAACCCAGGGACTATGCAATTCCCTAACATTTCCAGATGTTAATTAATGAGTGCCATAAAATTCAGCGAACATAGGGTTCACCAGATGCTTCTAGTTTTCATCATAAATTAATATATTAGCATTCTGTCAACACGAAATGGTTTGGAGATTAATGTAGAAGAGAGTTTTTCCTAATGGAAGAGGAGTCCATGGAGCTGACCTGGGGGATGAGTGAGCCTGGAGAGACTGGAGGTAATGGGGGCTTGTACACCTAGAGGGGCCGAGGGCCAAGGTTTGCAGTTGGACATGAAAATGTTGTGTTCAAGCACTGAGAAGAGAAAATCTTGGTTGGAAAGTGGGGCCTGATTCTATTCCTTGGTTCCCTTCTCTGGACCGTTTCTCAGGCCTTGGAAGAGAACAGTCTGAGCTTTAGGGGTTGTCAAAGTGAAAACTGAGGATTCTTCCTATTGCAGAAAGGAAGACTCTGATGTCAGGATGTAGGAAAATGAACCCTGGGTCTTCAGAACTGGGTGCAGTTCTCCAGGTGAACCAATCCCCACTGTTGCTCAGAGGCTCCTGGGTGCCTTCCTGCCAGTGAAAGTTCAGGTAGGGGTGGAAGTTCCTGTTTGGGGGTCTCTGGAAGGGTTGAAGGTGGGGCAGGAAAGATGACAGTATGTTGAAAAGAAGCAGGGCCACTTGTGTGCCTCAAGCAGAGCTATCCTGGCTCTGTCAGTTGGCATGCAATAAAATTTGCCCCTAGAGAGGATAGGGAAGAAGGCATTGGCAGTACTAGAAAGAGGATCTGACTTGAGCTACAAAAAGGCAACGGTATGAGATATAATTGAAGATTACTGGGGGAATTAAAGGATATCTTTAAGATACCTGCTAAGGCCTTCAGTATTTATAGAAGACGTAAAGTCACAATAACCATTAGGAAAGACTGGATGTGAAGAGACTGAAGTAGAATATGGGGTAGAACTGGATTTGGGTTCTAATATAAAGAATTATTTTCTGTGTATTCTATTAGCTGTAAGGAAATTTCAGAGTATTTAGATGGAAAGAGAAAATGGAGGCATCAAAAGTTACTGATTATCACCCTGATATGCAGTTGTTTAAAACTAAAGGTACAAAATCTTAGACTGATGGCAGGATCTTATGGTAAAAGAAAAAAGGGGCAAAGATGGAATTTAAAAAATAAAAATATGTAGAATATGGAACCACATTTATGATTGCATATCATTTGAAAAAAATATGCTACTACTGGTGCAGATAGGGCAATTGAGAGGACATGCATTTGGAGGAGGCGAAGGGTAGGTGATAACTTTGGGTCCCAAAATGCTAAATTTGAAATTTTAGTATTACCTACACATATAAAAGCCCAGTGGAGAATTTGAATTATGTGACTGCCACTTGGGCTTAGAAATACAGGTTTCAGAGGAATCAACATATGACTAATGATGAAGCAATAATGGATTATCTCTTTCAGTGGAAGAGATAAGAGAAAAAATGTCAGGGAGCCAGATGCTGACTTGAGGGAGTATTTGCATTCATGGACTTGGAGGTATGAGAAGAGTGTTGGAGTTGGGGGAAGGCGGCAGGCAGACAAAAAACAATGTTTGACAGAGAGAAGGATGGTGCATGCAGTGTCATGGAAACCAAGTTAGCGTCAGTGTCGAAGAAGCAGTATCCAGTGGTATTAAATGCATCAGAGAGATCTAAGTAGAATGGATGCTGAATTTAGCAAGAAAAACTTCATTGCTGACCTTTGAAAGAGCAATTTTTGTAAAGTGAGTATGGCAGAAGCCAAATTTCAGGGAATGATGGAGGGAGAACGAGGAAGGGAGTCTGTTTCTTAAGGTTCAGTAATTCTGACAGAGAACAAAAGGACAGAAATAAGATTCTCTATAGGAGACTCAGGATCCAATGTGTATTTCCCACATAAATTATAGATTGTCTCTTCTTGACCGAGTGGCTATTGTATCTCTGTTTCCCACCCCATAACATTTCATCCAACAGCAGAGAAATATCAGTGTCCACCTGAGATTATGACTGACCTTTCTACCACAGGAGCTCCTTCACACGCTAAATGCCAGCCTCACTGCTGCAGACTCCTACCTCCCCTTCCCAATCCTGGCAGCCTCATAAACTGGCTGGTCACTTTCCAGGTCCTGTTGATACACGGGAGTCTTTTCTGGGTCCCATTGCACTATTCCTAATTTCAGGATTCATTTAGAAAAGAAAATCCCTGCTTGTTATCTTCTACTTTCGGGTTCAGTGAGACATCTAGACCATGTTACCTCACTGAATTCTCACTTCTAAATTTGGGATTCACCTGAAACTACTCTCTAGAATGTCACTGTATTATTATCTCAGACTTTATCCTTCTCGACATCTCCATACTATTGCACTTCTTTTCAAACCACTCATCTTCATAGTTTTTATAAAATT